GTGGGATTTCATGGATTGTTTCAGCCTTTCCCAACTTGGCATCCTCCTGTTATTTTTGGACTACAGTTCTAGTGGCTCTGGGTACTGATGATAATTGCACTTACCATACACTTAGAGGAACCAAACTGGAAAATGTGAGTTCCTTGGGATCTGAGAGACAGAAGATTGAAGTGGCTGCTTGGCATTTTAAGGGAATGAGTTGGCCTGATGAGGAACAGGTGTGAAGACTTTAGAACAGGGGTGTCAAATTGCTGGCCTACGGGCCGGATGTCTCATCTGGAAGCCACGCCCAGCCCATTACCAGAAATGGCAAAACCGTCTCGATACGTTGCGCGACATCACGAGTTTGACATGTCTGCTTTAGAAATTTACTCTGTTTCTTCCAAAGTGCTAGAAGTGCATATCAACTTAGCTTATCTTTTGCCCATGGTAACCCAATTTGCACGCCACCTTTTCCAAAATTCATAGTTAGCACAGGATTTTACCCAAGTCACCCAAATTGTGCATTGTACTGGCTGTTTACAAGTTTAATTTTTTTGGAGTTACCTTGCACCTCTCATGGGACAACATCTTCTGGGCCAATGGTTGCACTTAATTTGAGTGCATGAGAAGGATGGAGGAAGATCCAACATATCAAAAAAATAAATTTGATCTCAGTTCATTTGCATTTACATTTAATTAAGCATAATTATACATTATGCTATTTCTGATCAGCATGTATTTAATTTTTTCTTTCCACGTTAAAATTAATAGTAATTTTTGAGGTGCCTGATTGTCATGGAAAGGGAGACTTTTTCAAATAAGTAAATACTACTTTCTCTAAATGCAGGATGGATTTGTGCGTGTTGAATGTGATTATGTTGAACATGCAGCAAAGCTAGCCAAAGCCGGTGGCTGCCACCACTTTATCCTAGAGTCAAGCAAAGATGCAGATAGCTCCAGCAGATTCCTCTATCTGAAGACCAAGGTAAGTCTGATGGGCTGCAAAATGAGATAAGCAGTGGGTGAGAGAACCAACTGGTTTCAGAGTTCTCTCCTGGTTGGGTTCCCAGGTTCTGTTTAATTTTTATATACAGAGTGCCAGATCTTTCATTCTACTGCCATTCGGGATTAGACAGAGAAAGAG